TACTCCAGTAAGTATTCTTTCTTCCTCCATATTCTGCAACCATGTATTTTCGTTGCACGCCCTGCTTCTTACTTTTGCATTTTACTCTTCGCTTGATTTTGCGTGCTCATTTCTCGCCCAGGATGGTTCTCCTGGAACGGAATTCACGAGTGCGAGGTTCGCTTCCTTCCGGAGTTCTTTGATTCACGATCCCCCTCAAAAAATCCTAGGGTTTATAAGTACCTTAGAAATTCTATTGTCAAAAATTTCAGAGAAACCCCTTCCAAGAAGATCACCTTTACTGATGTCCGAAAGACGCTCGTTGCGGATGTAGGATCCATTCGTAGGGTTTTCGATTTCCTCGAGGCTTGGGGTCTTATTAATTACTCGCCGTCCGCGCTGAACAAACCGCTCAAGTGGGAGGACCGGGACTCAAAGTCCAATGCGTCCGTCTCGCTCAGCGGTGAAGCTGGAGGTAGTTCCGCAGATTCCTCGGCTTCAAAAGAGGCTTCTAGGAGAGTATGCAGCGGTTGCAAGTCTATTTGTTCCATTGCTTGCTTTGCTTGCGACAAGGTTCGTAGCTACTTGCACTGTGAACGTATAATGTTTTCTTGTTTTCGCTAATTAGTTTGTGTTCTGCTATTTCCTCGGCGAAGTCTAACTTCTAAGCATTATCGAGGCGAGTCTTTGGTATATATTAATTCTAGGATTTCACTTTACTGTAAGCGATCGCATTAAGATTATATTTGTAGTTGAAACTTCTAATCTTTGGGAGGGAGTTTTGCTTAGTTTATTTAGAGGGTACCGGGTTAGCTGGATAGGTTTATTTGATTAAATAATCTTGAAATCAACTCTTTTTCATTCAGTTCGTTGTATAGCAAGTTTATAAAAGCGCAATGCACATAATTTTTTTTTTTGGTTTTATATTGTCTTTTTTTTTGGTTCTATATTGTCAAAAGCCTTCATTAGGGTTTTTATCTGTCCATAGTTGCATATCTACCACTTTAGCAAGCAAAATCCTCTGTGATCTCTGTTTATTTTCTTAATCTTCCTGGTTAAATGTCTCGAGGACATTTACTGAGTCGTTCTACTTGATAGGTGTCCGACCAGTTTTAGTTGCTTGATGAATTTGGAACTTGGATAGAAATGTATATTCTAAATAGGCATTAAATGGATTGATATAATTTAATTGATTGGAATTAATACGATGGTTGTTGTTCTGTACAGTTTGATTTAACGCTTTGTGCAAGGTGCTATGTTCGTGGTAACTATCGAGTTGGTGTTAGTTCTTCAGATTTTCGACGGGTTGAGATCAATGAAGACACACGAACTGATTGGACTGATAAGGAGACTTTGCATCTTCTTGAAGCTTTGATGCATTATGGTGATGACTGGAAAAAGGTTGCACAGCATGTTGGTGGCAGAACTGAGAGGGAATGTGTCGCCCATTTTGTGAAGCTTCCTCTGGGGGAGCAATTTATTGGTTATCCAGATTCTGGAAATATTGACAACAAGTATACTGCAGTAAAGGATCATGTTAGTGCTGATCTTGTATTGGAGAATGCTGGTACGTCTCTTCCTAGTAAAAGAATCTGTCTCTCACCTCTGGCAGATGCAAGTAATCCCATAATGGCTCAGGTTAGGATTGGTTTTAATCCCTTCTTTTAGCTCGCATTAGTTGCGTATATGATTGTAATTCAAACAACAATTTGCATTATGGAAGACCCTGATCCATGCAAAAAGAACTACGTATTTGAGGTCTGATTTGCATATTTGGGTTAGTTTGTCTTGACCTGAACCTATTTTAAATATCTCATGAAGCACCTTATAGTTTGACAAAAAACCAACATGGACAGGCTCATACAATTCAACCAAACTAAAACAGTTAAGATTGGGTTTGTCAGAATTTTTTAGCGGACTATTCTTTTGCATTACATATATAGCGTCCATTTAAACTGCCTGAAACTGGTATTGGTCAATTTAAACTGCTTATTGTTTTCTATTGCATATCATCATTGGTTAGAGATATCATCATGTAATTGGTATTTTATACACTCTCAGGCTGCCTTTTTGTCGTCTTTGGTGGGTGTTGAGGTTGCAGAAGCAGCTGCCCATGCAGCTGTGATTGAACTTTCTGATACGGGTTTTGGAGGAGATGGGGAAAGTGTCCCGGCTGTTGCTAGGGATACAGGGGAGCAAGGTATTGAGCTTTGTTTCTGTTAAAGCAATTTCAAATAATTATTCCTAGGTTATTGAAGTTGAAAATGGTGATAGTTTGGCTCCAGTTTGAACTTTACTATTTCTTTCTTTTGTAATTTGCATTCTAAATATATTTTTATATCTCAGGTGAGATTTCAAGAGTTCTTTTTTTTTTTTTTTACAAATCACCCCCAGTATACAAAAACTAGTCCTCACAAGAATCCACTCCAGCCTGAGTTAGTTAGAACTTAGAAGGGAAATAATTACGAAAATATTTTTAAAAGGAACGCATATAAGAGATGCAAATTTAACCAAACAAAAAATGTCAACTCAAGTCTTTCTTTTAAAAAATTTATGATTTCTTCCTAACCACACCCCCTTAGTAATAGCTTTAACTAAAGCCCCAAGTAATAGCTTTAACCAACCCCCTTAGTAATAGCTCTAACTGCATTACATTGGAATCTTTTTTTTTCTCTCTGGCCTGCACAATAGTTGTTTGAGATTCCTCTTTACATTGCCATCTCAACACTAGCTACATATAAAAGCTTAGAATGAATCATACGAACAGTTATGAGCAAAATGATACCGAAATAAAAAATGTAGCTTCCTCCTCCAATCGTATTCATGGTATTGGGCCTTATCCTACTACTTCATAAAGAGATTTTGTACGCTCCAATGCTAACTCTAGGACATGACTGGAGTTTTCATTTTTATTAAGCTTTCTACCTAGAGGCGGAAATCCAGAATTTTGGTGAAATCTTTCCCCATTTGATCTGTAAATTACACAAATGCTTGGGTTTGAGAGTAGATTTAGGACATCGTATTTACATTTTTCAGTCGTTCTCAATCATTGAAGAGTTAACATCCAGATGAAGAACTTCACTTTCTTCCGCCCTGATTTCCTTTTCAAATAGCTTTATTTTCTTTCATGGAAGAAACTGAGATTAATTATACCCAATTTTAACTTTCTACTGTACCATCTAGTTTCATCTACTACGCTGTATCTGCTAGATAGGATTATCTCCCTAATGGGGAATGTCTAGACTCATTTCTCCAGTAAAGAGGCATTTCTTTCCTGGAGTTCCATATGCATGCCTAAGCCTCTCTTTTCCTGGTGGTGATTTGATGCTCCTTCCCACAGAAATCTATTTCTTTCTATTATTGTTGCAACTTGGAATTTTGAACACAAACATAAACTATTTGTCTATACTGAACTATACTGACTATGGGAGGGATGTTGAAAGTTTCCAGAAATTCATTGTTATCCGATTACCTCCCAGATGCGCCAGTTAGTTTTGAAGTTCATTTCACTTTTATTTCTTTATTATCTTGTATTCATTTTAATGTGTGAAATGAAGATCAATTTTTTTAGAAAAATGAAAATTTCAACTTTTGCTTGTTATTTTTCGTGTTAATCTATCTACAGTTTATTATACGTTATGTCTTAAAATCTGTTGCAATATTCACTTTTGTAATCAGATAGGTTTGGAGTGTTTGTTATGTAGGCGACCAAAAATTGTCATATAATTTTTTGCCTCTACTCGTCCCTGTTCATGAGAGATGCAGTATCAAGTTCCATTTGGATGTTTATAAGTTGAAAATCTGAGTGGACCTAGAATTTCTACCATCATGTACTTACGGCAACTTGATAAAAGGTCTATAGACCATTGACGTACAAAACATTTTGGAGATAGAGCCTAGCACGTGCTCTTGTCATTATATAGCTAATATGTACAATAATAAAACATCGGTTGGTGTGAGTGTGATCTGCTGAGTGCAGGATATTTGTTTTTGAGGCTTGGGACTGTCACATCTCTTCTGTTTTTGAATCAGGAAACGAGGTTGCATCCAGTGGAGGCAGCAGTGGTACGAGCACATTAAGGGGGTCTTCTGTGGATGCCAATTCACAGATTAAGGAAGAAGAGGTGGAGGTGGAGAGAGCAATATCTCATATTTTAGACGTCGAGGTAGCTACTTTGAATTCTGTTGTAGTTGGTATGTGGAGAAGTTTGTGTTTATTTTGCTAATATTGGAAATTATTGGCAATAGATGAAAGAGATTGTAGATAAGATTGTTGGTTTCGAGGAGCTAGACTTGCAGATGGAGAAGGAACTTGGGCAATTAGATCAAATGAAAAGCATGCTTTTTGTTGATCAACTCAATCTCTTATTCAATAGAGGTTGTATCCCTGGAACCACCGTCCAAGACAAGGATGGCAAGAATGTTAGAACGTGTTGATTATTCTCCTCCCGGTTAAAGAAAAATTCTCAATGTATTTCCCTTTGTAACTTCGCATTTTTAACAGTTCAACACGGCCAGCCATCTAGTCAACATCTCTAATTTTTATTTTCTGGAAAGAAAAGCATGCTTAATCCTTTAAAAAATCATACAAAACGAGAAACAATGCGTTAATATTATTTGTAATATTTTTATCGACATGTATATTTTTCGTGTCAATAAATAAAAAAATGTCCATTATTATGTATGGACGACCCACTACAAAGCCGCAGTGGGAAGGCTGATGTTCAAACTCAAATGTTCCATTTTACAAACCCAAACTTCATAAAATGGATGGAAGTACTTTACATATTCCCAAAAATGCGAACATACCACTAGGGTGCTTATTCAATAAAATGTTACACCATAAACTGATACTCATCAGTCATCATCTACCCAAATCCACTAGCTGAAGAAGTTAACAAAAAGTTTATAAAAAATCACCAAACGCTGGCAGCACTACCAATAGCAACAGCACAACACAACACAACACATAACTATGAGTTTATTATTACCCTTCTAATGATGCCTTTCCACCGAACGAAGTCGAAGACATAACAGAGAGAACATCGGTCACTGATGCCATTACGCTTAATGCCGCTTTAAGTACCTCCTGCGAACACCCTGGTTTTACGATGGTTCGAACCTGAAGTGGCAGATAAAGCGAATTTGATCACAATTCAGAAAAAACCAGAAAATAATAATAATAGTAATTCACCTAAAGAGGTACCAATATCATAGGCCCACCTTGTCAAGATATTCCTGTAGTTTCTTAATGCGGCCCATGTAATCCTGGTCCTCAACGCACAGAGTAACCGGCTTAGCATCAGCACCAGGACCGTCAAATTGAAGAGGTCCGGGATTTCTGTAGAGATCGTCCACGAGAAACTTGCTCGCATTCTGTCTCAATAGCCTGTAATAACAAGTACAATACAGAATGAGCAATGCTGTCTTAGTTCCTCAAAACCATCACAATTTTGAAGGCAAATTCATTTTTCTTTTCAGTGATTGTAGGTTCGTGGTTGGGTGACTTACTCGTATGCTTTCCCTTTCAAATCCACAGTTGCTGGGTGGATAGCAGGTTTTCCGATTGATGTAGCTCCAGGATTTTGAGCCCAACGCTTCACAGTCATCATTGCCTATGTTCCATCAGAAGCAATTATATTAGTTAGGATTGTCAACCAGGCAAAATAGCATCACTGAAAAAAGAAACAAAATAAAACAGAACTTTCATTGATAATCAAAATACTAAGAAGACTGTTACACTGAATAAACAACATGAAGGGAAGGAAACCCTACTGAAATCGGAGCAGCACCACAGCGCCATTTGTTCACTGGATTTTTCAGGTTGGTTAGAGTGGCCATGTATCCGTTCAAGCCAGCAGCTAAGATATGGTAGCAAACATGCCCAAGAACCTGAATAAAATATACGCCCATTGTTTAACTGAAGTTCATATTAAAGGGGAAAATGCTCAGACTTCAGGACTCTTAATTATCACATACATAGGCGTAGTCACAATCAAATTTTGATGGTAAAGATCCCCGAGCCTGGTAACCAAAGAAGTGGCAAATAGCATTGAATTTCTTCCCCTTGTAAGTCCCTTCTTTCTGTTATAAATGCAATACAATAAGGTATTTTATAAATAAAACAAAAAATATTTATAAAATCAAAAGTAGTATGTCTTACTAGACGCTTGTTAATTTCAGCCTCCACAAGATGTGCCAGAAGTTTTTCTGTCTCAATCTAGGAAAATCAAGAACAAAGGACCATGATGCATCTAAAAGATGTACAGATTTTAGATAATAGATGCCAAAGTGTCTGACATACGATACCTGAGACAACTGAGCAGAATCATCTGATTCGGGGTGAAGTAGCAACTGCCAAAAAAAAAATGTTACAGCAAACACTAATGAGATCAGAGTGACTTTTATTTTATCAAAAAATCAGCTTTCATTGAGGGAGAAAAAAAAAGAAAGAAAGATTACAAAAGGGCCTAAAAAAGGACAGGCCAGAAGGAGGAGCTAACCAAAGACTAAACCAATCATACATAAACAAGGATTTGATGCCACAGATTTTGAAGATTAAATATTAACCTGCTTCCTGATAAAAGGTGGCAGAAATTCAAAAAGCGCAGAGGCCCAAGGAGAGAGTTGGGAAGAAATATTATCAACCAAGACTCCTTGCCCGAGTAAACTGTGAATTTCCTGAAACAAAAAAGTAAAGTGCATCATTTCTCTTTTTATTTCCATGTGTTCGGGCCAAGTTGCACGTACCTCGACTAATCATTTGGAGGAAAAAAATCGCACAAGTTTTTTAACAAAAAAAGATGAACATATATGGTGCTTTCCATGAACCAGAGAAAGGGAGAGAAGGAACCACCTTCAAGAGAGCATAGACTTCAGGAATACTTTCAATGAGCCCTTCAGGGAGTAAGATAACACCATGGTACTTGTCTGGCCATAATACACAAAATCAGATAACCTAAAGCTATTACCAAATATGAAACTAGAGGCATAATAAATTTTGCAAGACCTTGCTGTGCTCTAGCCTGAACAGCGTCACAAATCTGTGTCGTCAAATCAAAAAGAGTAAGTTTAGATGCAGCCACCTCCTCACCAAGAATAACCTGCAAGTGAGCATAGCCAATAGTTATCAGAAAAGATGATGGCTAAAAAACCCCTTCAAACTTCCCCAAAAAAAAAAAGGAAAAAAATTGTTGAAAGAAAGCTAACCAAATTTGGATGAGATTGAAGAGTGCACTCCAAAGCAACATGGGATGCTTTCCGGCCCATGAGTCGAATGAAATAGTAATACTAGAAAAGAAAAAGTCAAATTATATTTTTAATCAAAATTTAAGAAGCAGCAAATTTCTGTGCAAAGCACGGGGATATTTTTTTTAAACCATATTGAAGGCAAAATATGAACACAAAGAGCAAGATAAACACTGTTAGTCCACACATCCATTTTGTAGTTTTGTGATAATGGCAAACTTCTTCTCTTACCTTCTCTGCAGATAGGGCATCAGTGCATACATTGCTGATTAGCTGAGAATTGACCTGAGGATGAAAAAACAAGGAAATTAAGTCTTTTCCACAAGATCCTATGATGCTAAATCAACATATGCATGGCATACAGCAAAGTCATAAATTAACTAGACTCAAACTAGCATACTAGATAGAACAGAAAAGGTGATAACTGACAATGTTAAAGAAATATGGAACGTCTCTTGCTCATTCAAATTTACTACAAAGTACATGTTGCATTAAGAAACTCAAAGAAAAGAAAACCATATAAAAACAGTGATAACTGACAATGTGAAAGAAATATGGCGCTTCTCCCACTCATTTAAATTTACTGCAAAGTATATGTTGCATTAAAAAACTCAAAGAAAAGAAAATCATATAAAAAATCACAGTTCCACCTGGAAAATATCAGATAATTTTATACCTTACATATGGTGTCAAAACCAACATTTGTTTCAACAAACTGGTTCTTGAGATCGCCATTCAAAGTAACAGGAACCCCTACGACCTGCATGGTTCAAGAAAAGTATGATCAATTCAGCACAATAAGGCAAAATAACACCAAAAATAAAATGACCAGAAGAGAACATAAAAATTGCATGCATATAATTAAAGAACTTTGTAATCTAGTTCAGAGATCTTTGCTATTTCTGTAATATAATAAAACAGTTATATATGAAAAGCTCCATATAAATTGTCATTATTAGAATGCCCCAAAAATTTACTCAAGTTAATGGACTGTAACTGACATACAACCCAAACAAGATATGAACAGCATACTTTTGAATCTCCGACAGAAATCTAAATTTCGAGACACTTGAACTGATTGTAAGTACCTTCGTGGGGCATTTAGCTTCAGCAAACGTTTCAGCAAGCTGAGCAGCATCAGTGTTTGACGTCACTCCTTCAACAAGACCAGATATTTATATCTAATTCTCAAGTAAATAGAACAGCTAGGAAGAACCAGCCAATGAAGTTTACCTCCAATTATGACAAGACCATCCAATTTCAGATCTAGACATGTCTTAAGAGCAGCATTAACCTGCTCTTTCGTTCTAATTTGATCCTTTGTCCGTCCCAGTAGGTCATAACCACCTAATTAACACAAATAGAATACCACTAATGTAAAGAATCCCTATATAGCATATCCAAATTTCTGCAAAATAGACTATTAAAACCACTGCATACAGCATACCTTGATTTTTGTAAGTTGATAGAATGTCATCAGTTATCTCAAGAGTTTTCTGGGAAAATAAACCTTCAGAACCACCTATTATAAGAAATAACAACTTATCTTGATTAACAACTGTCTTTTAAATGATAATTACACAAACCTCAACAAAAAACACTCATATATCACTTGAATTATTATTATTATTATTATTATTATTATTATTATTATTATTATTATGAGAAACACTTCATTGAAAGAAATAGCCTAAGAACGGGGATGAGATAACCCCCTCTCAAATAGAGAACTAAAAGAGAGCTAGCTAAGTGAGAAAAGCTCTCCAATCTTGCCTAATCATAGAGAAGCTATAATTACAAAAGAATTTCTGTTTTTTTAACACCACCAAGAGGCCTAATACGCACAACATCACAAAAAGAATCTAAAGACATTGCCTTGTTTTCAAAAGACTGAAGATTTCTTTCCAACCATAAGTTCCATAAAAGAGCTCTGAAGGCACGAGACCAAAGTGCTATTGCCTTGTCTCTTAGATGCCACTCGAAGAAACATTCAAATAACCAATCATCTACAAGTCTACGCAAGCACCTACAGATGTTGGACTCTGTTTGCTCATAGTGCATCTATAGATGCATATAATTCAAGTGATATGAGCAAACAGAGTCCAACAACCATCAAGTTCTCAGCAAGGACCCATCATCATGTGATGCTGATCGAACATCATATAGCAACAAAATACATGCTTCCTCTTCAACAAAATACATGAGTAAAGAGACATTTAAGTTTACTCATATCCTAGCTTCCTCTTTCACAAAATATGTATGCATGTAAGGGATAAAAGAGAAGTAACCTGCTACTACATTATAGCAACATATTACAGATGATGTATACACAATAGCAGGAAACGGAAGTTAGCTAAAAAGGGAAGGAGTTGAGTTAACTTACCCAAAAATCCAAGTAAAACGCTATTTGGGTTGTGAACTTTGAGAGCATTATGAAGTCCCCAGATGACGTTATGGCCTCCAGGGGATTGCCTTCCACAAAAAACTATTCCCACCCTGTTGGTATCAAATCAAGGATAGGGATTTTTCATACAGTACATCTACTTCGTCACCTCAAAAGCACAAATAAAATAAAAATGGTCATGCAATGCCCATTCCTATGTCTATACACATGCATGTCAAGAAACGATGCAAAAAGAACGGAAAAAAAGTCAGATAGTTAGCAGTATAACGTAAGAAGTTATAGCACTGGTACATAATGAATATTTATCACCAACTGCACGCACCGGATGGCTGGATGTTCAGTAATGATTTGGGCATCTGGAACTTTGGCTGTTGCCCTGAGAAAGTGAGCCAGTGGCTGACCATATGTATGGGGAAAGGACCTACTAATGGTGTGGGAATCAGCTGGATCCGCAGCTGTAGTGGCATCACCGAATTCAACCCTAACTGCTGTTCCCTGTAGAAGAGTATAATGAAAAGATGTAAGCCACTCGTCCAAATTAAACAATGTAAACCTGCACTAGACCACGGAGGACAAAACAATTAATTTTATTCTTTACTTCAATTATTCATTATGTTCCCTTTATTTATATAGTACCACAGTTGTCAATTTGCTTTTCTCGAGCTAATTCTGCACACAGGACTACCAAAAGAGGTGAAAAGCAAGATCACCTAGGATGGGCATACATCACACAGAGGAAGGTATGAAACGGATAAAATGGATCGAAAACAAAGGAGGTCCACTAGGAGAATGAATGACGGCAGATTGGTACTTACATAAATCGAACAAACGTGGTGAATAAGAAAACCAAATCAGGCTCGTTCACAGGGGATATTTGGCATCAACGAATTAGAAGGTGTGTGCAACGTATCCTAAAAATCCTTTGGTGCGTGTCGCGAACTACATTTGTTCAAATGTTATATAGATATCCGGGGCAGTTTTTGTAGGAAATAAATGTCCCGAACACGAAGCGCCAATCGGATCAGGGGAGCCACAGGAGAAATAAATAGTAAAAATATATATAGAAGAGATCCAGAGATAGGATATGAAATTCATATGGCGTAACATATCCGCAGATCTAAGCATGGACAGAGAAGTAGGCAAAAGTATGGATCAAAAAGCGAGACGACATGCGGCATAACATGACAACGACGAGTAACAAAGTCGAGAAAATAGGATCTAAATAATATGGCAGGCATTGTAAGAAAACGAAGGGAAGCAGATTGCAAAGTTGAAAGGAAATGAAAAGAAAAGGATAAGAACCTGGAGACAAGGAGGGAGCTCGGGCTGGTAGAGGGAGCGGATTTTCTGGAGATCGGAGAGTTCTCTGGGAATGCCGTAATCAGAATCCATGGAGGAATAGGGTTGGGGTTGGGGTTGGGGTTGGGGTTGGCGGAGGAAACAGAGTGGTTTTCGGGAGAGGAAGAGTGAACTGAGTGAGGGTTTGGGTTTGTTCAACGATTTATAGGGCCACACAAACACCCACAAAACAATTGGCTGCGTTGGGCGATGATACCTAACCAAACATTAAGCAACGCTTTACGCTTTGATCGTTTTTGGTACCGGTCGATTTTTGTTTTTGGTGCTCTTCCCTTGTCCACGTAAACAATGCCCATGCTTGGGAGAGTTTATTACCACAATGCCATTCTGTTCAATTAGCTTATGGACAAGGAGGAGGAGAGGACAACGTGTGTCGCTGGAAGGGCAACAGCTGAAATTTCAAAATCTATGTGAAAGCGCTCTTCTCACACTGCCCTCCTCCTCTATCAATACTACGATACAAAAAAAATGGGCTAATTGGATCAAATTTGGAACTTCCTTTCCACCTCACCCCAAGCAACTTTTTTTTTTAATTATTATTTAGTACAGCAATGGAGGAAGATTCAAACTTGCAATATTTTTCAAGTTTTTTTTCTTTTGGAAGTATAACATATGATAGAAAGTCGAATTTACAACCTTTAGTTTGAAGACATATTTCAATTACCGTTGAATTATGCTCATTTTGACAAACTAGTTGATAACGAGGAAAGCAACTATTAATTCGTCATAATCCAAATTAAATTTTTAGAATGAAAATATTACATATTAAAACATGTTAAATAATTTCGGTCTTCAAATATCCAAATTCATCATTCCTTAACCACTAGAAATCCAAAAAAAATTAAAAAAAAACCTTTACAGCCACTGATAGAAACAAGCATTAATTCCCAACTAGCAACCTGTTTCGAGTAAAACAATGTGCAAGTGTACGGTTTCTTTAGGATTTCACTTTTTCTTCTGACCCAACAAAAGATTAAAAAGAAACAAAAAAAAGTGGAATTAGCAATTAATTCAAAATATAAAAACAAACAGACGACTCGGATTCATAGAAGACAAATGTGAATAAATAAAATATAAGTTAAAATAGGATTGGGATGGAATCTACGTTCCGCGATATGTAGTGGGTATTTCCCAAATCCATGGTTTTGGCTAACATAGACTCAGCCCCAAAACAGACGGCACGGCACTCCACGACAATCCATTTCCATTTCTAAAGAGCCATTCGCAAGTAATGTTACTATTGGATAGTGTTCGTTCAGTTTATTCATTCATTCAGTCTCACCGTTCATCCAACATGCACAGCCCTCAAAACCACACTACCATTTCTAATAAGACTAACGCGTAATACAGCCTTCAAATGAAAATCAGACCCACACTGGGCGCGGCTCGCACCTCCAACATACTTGGTTTCATCCTTGTTCTCGCCGCTCTGCATCTCCTGGTTTGTAACGACGCGTATGAGTATCTGGAGTCGTCATTTCCTCCCCCGTTGAGCGGGGCGCTTCCTGGACCTTCCTCCACCACTCTTACTCGTGGAACAGGTGGTTCCAGAGTTGATTGTGGGGGTCGAGGCAGAGTGAACAGGCAAACGGTGCCCATTAGCCAAAGCAGGGAACCCAACAGCAGGGATTCTGCAGAACAACCACGCTTATTTTATTACATCATTCATCTGACCTATCAAACTACAATATCCATCGATCAACCAAGAAATCAATATATATCATCTTCAAACCGCCCAACACAAAAATTGAACACATCAAACACACTGTGGAAACAGTTCAATACTCTATTTAGAATTCTGTGTAGCAACCAATATGGGATTGCGTAAGGGGAAGCTACAAAAAGGAGCAACACATAAACAAAGAAACCTTCAATGATCCACACAAGGCATGCATCAACTAGGTCTCATGTTGAAAAACATACATCGCTCCACAAAAAGTTTAAAGATCACCCTACTACAATACTAGGGAGGGATAAATAAATAGAACATAAACACACAGAAAGTACATTTCTAAAATTAAATTTATATAAAAACTTCTAAAACATAGCCCTGAACTCAAACTTCTAATGAAATCACAAGAATATGAAGATACGTGAATTTAAAAAGATTATGCTACTTTGGTAAGAAGAAATAAAATGTCAAATTTGGGCTGGACAGGCACACATCTAATAAGTAGCATGTTATAAATGGACAGGTAGAATGGGGATGGATAGATGGGTTGGGATGAATTCCATTGATGATACTAGAGACATCAATAGGTTGGTCACATAGCGAGAATGCGAGATTCATACAGGTGGATACTAAGAAGTACAGACATAGACACGGACATGACGATACGCCAACTTATAAAATTATAGGACATGGACACATTAGGATTTAAAAAAAAAATAGATAATATATGTATATTTTTTTAAAGTAGTAATTTTTAAATAAATTAACTATAGACATGAAACATTTTGGTGATAAATTAAGGATAATAGTACAAAATCTACTCAATAAAATGTTAAGTAAATAAAAATAAATAAATACTTTTTTAACAGAAAATAAATAAATACTTAACTTTTAAAACATAAAAATATTAAATAAGTTATGCCTAAAAACTAAAACAAGCTTTAAATAATGTGATTTATTAGCCTAAAAAGAAAATTAAAAGATTTATATATAAAAAATCCTGCCATCTGTCAACCATGGAGGATTGAAAGGTTTGACAATCATGGAGGATTGAACGGTTTGACATCTGTCAATCATGCAGTCATTAATGCTTCTTTAATTGCTCCATCTTAATTCTCTCTTTATTCTTCCCATTCTTCTCTTTTTATCATTTCTCCATCTTTAATTGACAGCATTTCTCCATCTTCTCCATGGTCTTCCGACTCTACTCATACTTCACTTTTCCATTTTTCTATTTTCTACTATCACTTTTCTTCTTTTCTTCTACTTCTTCTCCTCCGTCCGGGCGGCAAGTTAGCGTCAGTGTCCATGGTCTTCCGACTCTACGCATACTTCATTTTTCCATTTTTCTATTTTCTACCATTCACTTTTCTTCTTTTCTTCTACTTCTTCTCCTCCGTCCGGGCGGCAACAGTGTCCATGGCAAAACTCCGATGGTAGCTGGGGCAAAGGCGGGCGCTGGCAGCAGTGACTCTCTTGGATGGGCGAGGTTTTTTTCTAGGCTTTGAAATCGACAACCGTGTCCAAAATTATTTTAAAAATTATAAAAAAGTCGGACACGTGTCCAAGGGTGTCCGGGCGTATCCGTGCCCGACACGGACACTCCGCCCAAAATGGGGTCTGATAGGTTGGGATGAATTCCATTGATGATACTAGGGACATCGATAGGTTGATCGCATAGCAAGAATGTGAGATTCATGCGAGGCTCCCATGCGTCATAATGTAGTGTTAAGGGTGGATAAATCGAAAAAAGGATGGGATGGACTAGTAAATCTGGCAATTGATCTTGATCTGTTCTACGTGGTGTAACTTGTAAGGTTCGAGTCCGTATAGCACTATATTACTACAACTCTAATTTTATGTTATATTACATTCTAGTCTCTATTATTTTTTAGGAGGGGTAGTCGGAGATTTGCTCCCCTGTACAAAGGGATATCCGTGCCCGCCAAGGCCGGACCCGACATTCCAGTTTCTATTATTATAATTATAAAATAATATGATAGTTTCCCTTCGCACATTGTTGATGAATTTGTAGATGAGTTGGAAGAGAAATGGATCAATAAAGGGGAGGAACAGAGGGCGGATGGGCACAGACAGACAAAGAACTAGGCTTAACATTATAAGTTAAATCGGCACCTACAATGCCTCGTTACTGGCCACGCATCAATTAGATAGCATAGCAACACACACCCAAGGCTGCATAACACAAACTTCTAATTAAATGGCAAGAACATAACTTCTAGAATCTTCTTTCTTTGACACGAGAAACTCCAGAGAAAGAAAATGGTGCTTTCAAAAAAGATTTAAATAACAATTTCTAAAGCATAATTTGCTTAATTCATCGTTATAGTACGAAAATAAAGGCACAAAAACTTGAAAGGATTTTCTAATTAAATTCTAAGAATTCCGAACTTAAGGTTACTAGTTCAATTTAATTATTAATCCTACCAAGAAGAGTCAAACGCATATATCCGGTTAGCAAAAGTGAGACTAAAACAGGTAGGCTGATGAACTCTGAGGACCGAGGAACAGTCATTGACGTCTCAGGTCCATGATACATCTAGTTTACTCCACTTGCCACTCAAAATGTTTTCCTTCGCAATTTTTCATTTTGTATCTCCTCTTGTTGTAGTTGATTACAATTAGAGAGATGTACATTCGAATAAAGAGACAGAAAGGATCATATGCTCTAATCTACTCTACCATGCATATGCGATCACTTTGGGATATTTTTGTTTTTTAATGAAAAACCATACCCATAGGATCACTTTAGTATTTTCTCCATCTACTTACCGATCAGCAATAAGAATATGGATGTGGACAATATCTATAATTTTACTTTTTAAACATGTCAATTATTTCTTATACTTAACCATCCAGAGTGCCAACTGTAAACAAAAACTCATTCGGCCATAAATGAAATGATAAGACAAGACGTTAAGGAAAAGATAAACCATACCCAACAAGAGCACAGCAGACTCCTGCTTGGTCAGTGAAGCACCAGAAGCGCATCGCATCTCTAGACTAAAGCGTAAGGCTTGATTCTCAGCACAGTAACACTGAAGCAAACGCCCCAATCTCCGGCATTCACCTTCAAGAAATTTACTCTTCATCTCTAGATCCCTTACGTACATCTTTTTCCTCTCTCTTGATCTCACTGCGGCGTCCCTATTTCTCAGCTGCCTGAAAATTCGAATTCGTATATTCAGTTATCCCTTCGAACGGTACTCATCATACTTTGTCTGATAAGCTCCAAACTAAAAAAGAAATGATCTTCGATCTCGGTTTTTTAATTAAATGTACTGTGCTCCTTTTTTGGGATGTGGGATGCATCGAAATTGATGAGAGAGCACACATAAACGCTTCATGCCATAGAGAGGCAACTAGATCCCATACGAGTCTATATCCACCCGTATACTTGAAGTTCAAAACATACTAGATATCTTCTAATTAGGACACCCAGATGAAAAATAAGTCATTGAACAAAAATAAATGTTTGGGAGACATATGGTAACTTATTGGCAAAGAAGTAGGAACTTATTCTTAATCTATAAAGAGAAAATCAAACCCTTACACTACCGCTACCAGTAGTAGAGCTAGAAAAAGATTATAATGGCAGAAAAAATAAATGTTAATGAGGTTAAAAAATAATATATTGGAACCTCCTAATTGATTACATATAGTAGAATACCAACTCATAAAACATTCAATAGCAATACCTTCTTCGTTTTTTGGAAATAGAATCATCGGCATCTTCATCTACATTGTCGTCGGTGCTCGCTGCATCGACCTTTTCCTTCTGGGAATTGTTTAAGTTGTCGCCGCAATCTGAAGCATTGGAATCGACGTCGATTGCAGCATCAACCCCAGAGGACCTTCCATGAGAATCAACAAGTTCTTCAGCCGTCAAACTACCGCAGTAATCGCCAGTAGGAATGGAAGAAACCTTATCCTCATCGTCTTTTTTATAATTGTTAAAGTCGTTACCGCAATCGGAAGCATTGGAATCGACGTCGACGATAGCGTCGGCCCCAGAGGCTCCCGCATGGGAGTCTACAAGTACGTCAGCCAAAAAAGTATCGCAGCAGTCGTCACTAGGAAGGGAAAACCCCTTATCCTCATCGTCTTGCATAAGGACGTTCTCGATCTCGTTGATCCACAAAGAAATCGAATCAGGAGAAAGGTTAGACAAGGTTTCAGCCGACGGTGACTCACCCAGGACGATTGGGGGTTCCATCTCCAAGGCAGCCGGGAGTTCATCAAAGAAGTTCATCCAATCTATGTGTCCTATTATGCCATCTTCGGAGAATTCCAGATCGTCCATTGAAGGGGGAGAAACTGAGAGAAAATAGAGGTTCTAAGACTAGATATTTACAGATAGAGGGAAATGGAAACTTGGGGGGAAATTTTAATAAATCGCGAATGGTCGGGAACGGAAACTGCCGCGAAGGCACAATGACGGAGACGGAGAAGAAAACGCGTGTTGTTAGGACTTAAGGAGCAAGGAAAAGAGCAGTGATACAGTGTGGTTTTGTATGGTGGTACTTATCTATGATTGAGATCTAACGGTTGGTATTGTGACAGCGAATTGGTGCATGAAAATTAATAAAAACATGGGCGTCACAGAGGATTTTAATTTCTCTGTGTGTATTGCATCATTCAGCCAATAGAATGTCGCTCAGTGGCTGCCTCGTCCATCTGTCTTCTTGACATTCACACGTGGGCTTTCCCCCTCACGAGTCAGGCTCCCTTTAAATATTTTGTTATATAATGTAGAAAATATTTTGTTATATTATATAACAATATAACAGACGGACACCGACAGATACAATACAAGGGACACGGGCACTATTTATTATTACAAAATTAACATAATTTAAGAACTAAAAATTTTAACACAATACAATGAAATAAAAATTTCTAAAAATGAAATTTTGTAGTTTTTGTTTAGAATACATACTGAATTTTCTCTAATTTTCTCTATATCTTTTAATATAAAGACAACTTTTTCTTAATTTGAATATGCGATTCATCAAAAAAGGACGGGACAATGAATCCATGATCTTTTACAATTCTTATTTTAACACCACATGAACGATGGTTTAAACAAATACTTGATTTTTTATTTTTGAAACATAACAAATACTTGATTTGAAGTATTAGGATGTACATGAGCTGTAACTTATTTTCTATTATTACAGTTTGCACCCTCTTGTATTGTGGTCTATATATAAGACCCATATCTCATAATAATAAAGTTGAGCAAGCTCAAGAGTTAAATTACTCTCATATGTTAATATGGTATCAGATGAATATTACGTTTCCTGAGAGTGCGTTTGTGGGACTCGTATACCATTCTTGGTATTCTTTGATTTTCTCGTCCACTTTCTTGCTCTTTCTTCGCTATGGCGCCTAATAATTCAATCGGTCCAATCGATTCAACTGAGAATCCTCTTCCACCTGATTCCACGAATTCGACGACGATTTCAGTTGCTCCAACTCCGGTAAGTTCTTCTTCTGTTGAACAGTATGTTAATCCCTACTTCATTCACCACTAGGACAATACGAGTCTTGTTCTCTTCTCCGATCTTCTCACTGAGGAAAACTACACTTCCTGGAATCGTTCTATGACAATTGCTCTCACTATCAAGAACAAAATCAGATTTGTAGATGGTTCTATTTCTCGGCCTACTAGTGATTTGCTAAATTCTTGGATCATATGTAACAACATAGTCACCGCCTGGCTTCTGAATTCTTTATCGAAAGAGATCTCTGCCAGTTTATTATTCACTGATTCGGCTCGTGAAATGTGGCTTGACCTCAAGGAACGTTTTCAGCGTCAGAATCGGCCTTGCATTTTTCAGTTACGCCGCGATTTATCCACGTTAGTTCAAGATCAAATGACTATCAGTACGTATTTTACTCCATTGAAGACGTTATGGACCGAATTGGCCTCCTATCGGCCTTCATGTACCTGTGGTCGGTGTTCTTGTGGCTGTGTTCAAGCTATTTTAGACTATTTTCAAACAGAGCATGTAATGTCATTCTTAATGGGATTGAATAACTCCTTCAGCTAGATCTGTGCTCAATTGCTTCTTATGGAGCCAGAACCTTCCATCAATCGCACTTTTGCCTTAATTGCTCAAGAATCTCAGCAACGCGCGATTTCTGCACTGCCGATTACTTCGCCAACTGCCTTATTAGCTAAATCGTCTTCAACTTTTGGAGATTCACGCTCTTCTTCCAATTTGCAAGGAAAAAGACGTGAACGCCCATTTTGTACGCATTGTGGCTTGCAAGGCCATACTGTTGATAGATGCTATAAGCTCCATGGTTATCCTCCGGGATATCATTCACAGAATTCTTCTCACTCGAAATCTGTTTCATCTTCTACTGATTCTTCCACAAAGACTTCTTCGTCAACTTCTGTGGCAGATTCCTTGGCGCCACTTAACATTGAGCAATGCCATATTCTTTGAATATCCTTAACAATCACTTAGCCAAGGCGAAAGATGGATCTGCTCCATCTAGCAGTTCTCATGTGGCATGTATTTCCTTCTCTGTTTTATCCTCTGTTATGCCAAATCACTGGGTTATTGATTCTGGAACATCGGCACACATATGTTATTGCAAAGATCTTTTTATGAATTTACATTCGTCTCAGTTTGTTGTGGATTATGCTGGGGATATTCAGATTAATTCTGTATTTCAATCTACTCTCTGTGAATGTATTAACACAAAATACTTCGCTTATGGTCTCTTTTACTACCGATTCTTGCACCGTTCAGGACAAGTTGTTGTCGAGGACGATTGGGAAGGGTGATATCTGCAGTGGTCTCTATGTGTTGACACAAGAACAGATTCTTGGACAGTAGTTTAAGGTTTTGCATAATGTTTGTATGGCTTCCATTTGTGTATGGCACAATAGGATGGGTCATCCATCTCTTAAACATTTAGTTGCTTGAAGGATGTTTTAGATCTCAATACTAATAATACTGCCAAGTTAGACCCTTGTTTGATATGTCCTTTGGTAAAACAACGAAGATTATCTTTTACTTCTCATAACCATGTTGCTAATGCTATATTTGACTTGGTGCATTGTACTCATGATATCTCGGTTAAAATGAACAAGAAATCCGTGTTAAATTAATGCTTTTTTTTTGGCCGCCCAGTTACAGCGTGCAGAACGAAAGTTAGACAAAACATAAATAATAGGATTTGGGCAAAATTACATGCATACAGCATAAATGATCACGATTTAATGACAAGGCCTCCTACAAAGTGACCCTCGCGAGATAAACTACCAACTAAAAACATTATCAACGTTCCCTTTGGCCGCCTATTTCTGCATAATTAAGAGTAGAGGAATCGAAAACGGGATTTCGGAGCATAATTTGGATATTACCCTAAAAAATTGATTATTCATCAACCACCACTCCACTGTTAGACGGACGAGAATTGGTGCATTTGACCATGTGCTGTCTCTGTGCACCACAACTTCCCACTCAAAATTTTAAATTCTTCAGGCAACTTCAACTTCAGGACCCTGTCTGTCCCGTGGCAAATCTATTCGCTTAACATAAACATTCTGTTTCTGTACCTGTACGAACCATTTTTATCCTGTTCCTGTTGCCTAAACCTAAACTAATTGGTTTGGCTAATTTGCGGCCAAACCAATCACGAGCCATCACCCCATTCAGGAGTGCATACCATACCAACCATAGAAAAGGAAATTCGGACACAGTCAGTATTCTCAGATGCCCATTACAACATCCACCTTTCACTGCATCTATCACACACAAAATTCCAAAATCAATATAAATTACAATCCCAAGCATTTTTTAAATTCCACGCCACAGAATTGGAGAATTCAGTAACAAATGAATGGGTTCAAACCTAGCTGGTCATCTACCTAAGATTTAATATCTTATTCATTATCTAGGCAACCAAATGATTTAATATCTTATTCGTTATCTAGGCAACCAAATGTAGGAAGATAGGGAGAATAGTTAGGATGGGTATTAATAAAAAGAAAAAAATAATATCATCGATGGTTGTATGAAATAATAATCAAGGACAAGAACATCCTAAAGGGCTCTGTGTATTGTTTCAGATTGTGAGATTGGGGACTAGATCCCCACGTCGTTCCCAAAGTCCCACTTACTCTCTCATCCACCAAGTCAAAATCTGGAAAGGAGACCCTGGCAATCCTGGATAAGCCACTCTCCAAGGGACACAATAATCTCCCTCTCCCTCTCCCTCTCCCTCGGTCACAAAGGTATCATTGCTCTACTTCCACCACTTTTTATTTAGTACTTTCGAAACCCATAATTGTTCAACTTCTCTAGATTCCGAATAGTTGTCATCTACAGCCATTTAGTTTTTCTGATAGCTGCGAAACATCTAAGGAATTCGTAGGCCCGAAGATTATTCTCTCTGAAGGCCATACACAGTTTTTATATATACATAATAAATACATGAGAAATGACTAGCACACAATAAACCTTATTTCTTTCACACTTTCAATCAAAAAGCACCTGACTGTATATATAAAAACTGTACTCAAATGTAACTTATTCACAAGTGTACTCAAATGTAACTTATTCCCATAAGTTGGACAACATCCCAAGTTCTTTCTAGCCCACTGACATAATAATTAGAATTTGGTTAAATAGCAAGTTTACGAACGACTTTCCTAGTTTATTCCTGCCTGGGTCAGAAATTCAAATAAGAGAAACTGAAATTCATGAAAAGTAAAATGGGAGTAATCCTCGTTATAAACAGAAGGAGCGCAAGTTAAAAGTTAGAGTATATGAATGATTAACCGGAGATAGAAATAGTGAGAAATCATATCCGACAACATCAACTAGAAACACAAATTGCACATAACCAAAAGGCTACTTGATATGATATCCATCGTTTTGTCTAGAAAAGATTTCTACTTCCTATTCGGGCAGAAAGTACTCTGGTGTAAGGTACATAATTAAATGACGGAGAGGCCAGAAGAATTACCAAAGAGAAAAATACCAACGTCACGGCTTCTCCTCCCTTTCTCGGTTCCACTGTTCAATCCGGGCTCGGCGCTCTTCACTCCCTTCTCTCACAGGGCTTCTGCTTCGTCTCGGGCTACCATGCCTTCTCCTTCCCCCATCCCTATCATACCTATCATATCGTTCCTTGCTCCGTCCGTTTCCGCGAAAGTCACGATCTCTAAAATCCCTCTCACGCCTATCATAGTCCTTCCGGTTGCGCGGACTCAAACTTCTACTCCTGCTCCGGCTCCGTCTATATCCCCGATACCTACCGAACAGCTTCCTCCTCAAATCCTTCCCAATCATCTTAACATGCATAAAATTACAATACCCGCCTCGATTACAGTTATTCTCCTCGTATTGGCGGCATGTGGCCTCCCGGAAATCAGTCACGGGAGAAAAATCAGCAATAATGGGTCGACCAGAGTAGAACCGACCTTGCAGCGCTTGGAGTGCGGCAGCAGCCTGGTCCTCCTCCCTAAACTGAACGTAGACATTGCCAATCATGTGGTCGGCGAGATTATCACAGACGTTGAGGCTCTCGATCTCACCGAACTTTCCGAGTTCCTCGTAGATGTCTTCATAAAAATCCTCAAAGTGTTCCTGAATTTTTCGGGGATCTATGGGCTGACCCTGAGCATCTACGCCAGGGGTGATCATGTCGGGGCGCTGGTACATGTTCGATAAGAGAAGAGTCGGCGAAATAGTGGGGCGGTTGTGGAGCCGAGAGCAGCGATCTCCATGACGGCAGGCGCCGATCTTGAAATAGAAGGGGCAGTTGACACGGTCCTTTTCGGTGCCAAATATTGAGGCTAAGTGTTCAGCCATGGTAGATCAGAAGAAAAAAATTTCAGCAAGAATCTTCGACCTGATTGTAGGGGTTTTGATGAAAGAGAAGCGGAATCGAGATTAAACTCAAACGAAAAGTGGAAATTGTAGTTCTATTACGACTTGCAGGGAAAAAAAATACGAAGGGAGGCAAAAACCCTAAATTGGAGAAGTGGATCCCAGATTCGTAAAAGAGGAGTTTCAGATAGGGCTCGGTTAAATCTTCGCGACCGTAATAGCAGACATGCTATATTTTAATTTTATTATTATCTTTCAAACAGAAACTATGCTAATGACTTTCTTTTTAATAAATAAAAATAAAAAACCTTTAAATCTCTTATAAGTAGGAAAAAGAATGAGTTCTCCCGATTCGATTCAATTTCCTTCGTCTATGAAATCCGAATTACTTCAAATTGTTCTTTCGAATTTTTATCTAAGAAATTGAGAAGATATTCTATTAACCGTGGATTTTTCACTTTATAATTAGATAAAGAGTAAAAATAAGTGGGAGTATCAACCTCTAATTTTAAAAAGAAGTGTGGCATCATTTATTTGTTTGACATTTATTTGATAATATTGATAATGTTGACTTAACATAAAAAACTAACAATTTTACAAGTGGATTAAAAAACAAAAATTCCCTTGTAATTTTAGTGTTTTTTTTTTAAAGACTTGTAATTTTAGTGTTTAGGTTTCCTCTATTCGTTTGAAGATAAATTGACCAACTTAAAATGGATATGCATGAATGCTGCTGCCACTAATTGGCGTAATAAAACATTGGAAACCATATCCATTAGATTTTGTACAATTATAAGAGCACAACAGTAAATGATCTTTAAAACTACAATGGAAACACAGTTATTTTAAAAAACAACCAGAAACACAAAGTCAAGGAACGCTGGCACTGGCAGTGACAAACCTAACAAATGCAATCTGAAATTGCTTTCCAATATCACACATCTCCCAACCCGATGGAAAAAGGTCTCTATATACACGAGGAGTGACAAAAAGGAATAGAAAAAGTAACTGAACAGTAAAAACTAATTGAAATGTAAACAGTTACAGAACTAAATATAAAATACAATACAGATACAGCTTGCTTACGGTTTCGCACAATAAGCAGTCAGGGGATTACAACAACAAACAAAGCGGAGTGTTTATCTGAGGAAGCTGTTAGAAGGGAAGTTGCGCAGTGGATTCTGCCTCAGCAACTCTGTCTCCCTGCTTTAAACAACATGTAAAAAGGTTGGCTACAAATCATACTTCAACCTCCTTCTCATGCGAGAGAGAAAGCACTACAAATACTTTGGTAATTGATTTCTCACCTTTTAAAATCACGTCCATCAACCTGTCTAAGGTGTGTAGTTGAAGACTTGCCACCCTCATCATGTTCCAGTTTATGCGCTCTATTCAAATGAAAAGGAATTGATGTTAACGAAGTCTTCGCTATTGGTTAACTAACCGTACCTAAAGAATGTGTTTGCTTACTCTTCACATTCTTCATCCACAAACACCTCTATAGGTGCACTTGCACTGGCTCCTCCAACCCTGGTTCCAGTCCTTTGTGGTATCTGTGTCAAGAAAAGAGTTGAGGGTCATATAAGCGGCATCAACTATACGATTCAAGTATGGAATCCAGTAAAAGCTGGTGTATTAATGCCAGCGTCAAACCTTGTGGGAAGTCCATTTGGAAGGGAGCGCATTGTTTTCCTTATTTCTCTCCCTTCGACTCCCTAGTACTGTCCAAGAATTCAAACGTGTCTTTGACACATGTGACTCCTGCTGTGAAGTAATGTCGACTTCTGAATCTTCATAAACATCAAATGGAGCTAAACATTGCCTATAGTAGAATTGCAATACAGTGAAGAGGAGAGAAATGACAAGGAGCAATCATTCTAGCAATCGATGCATTTCTGAAGAACTAAAACCTGTACTAGAATCTCTCGCATAGTAGGTGCACTCACCTTTCAGGTTTCTTGTTTTTCTTAGAAAGATCGAAATTGCTCATTGTCTGCTTCCCTGAAACAGATAAATGCCTAAGAAAGTGGAAAATTATAGAATGCAGATACAAGAAATTAAACTTACGGTTCTGTGGATTGGAAAGTACAGTTCCAAAGCTACGAACTGGTAAGCATTTCTCCGCTGACTCCTGCATAAAAGAAGTTCAGTTAGTGGCAATATTACATGACCTACATTCTATCAAGAAACTTGCTTACGTCTGCTGCTTTTGGTCTTTGCATTGAGCGTGAAAGGAACATTCTATAAGCAACCTTCAGCTTATCAATTGGCTGAGCGTTCCTACAAATCAAAAGAGTTAACATACGGAAATTACATGGCAAGGGAAATTTTTAAAAAACTTACAAAGATAATTTACAATACAAGTTGACAGAAAATATCTCAAAATAAAGATGGAAGAATTCGTTGATATTAATTTTGTGGAATCAAATCCATTATGATATCGTCGGAGGGAAGAAAGAAAGGAGGATATATTCATTGCTACAGCTTGTTTGCAAAACAACTAATTTCTATCTTGCATATGCTACAACGTGTTCGAACCAAATGAGCAATAAAAATATACAGTCAACTTATTCCTCTAAATTTAAGAACAGCACGTGAATATTTCAGCAAACCAAGTATCGAAAGTCAAAACCATGCATAAAGTATTGTGCATAAAAAGGTTACATTGTGAAGTTAACAACTTAATTATCATTCCATAAAAAGTGTGAGAGTGATAAATCATCCCCCTTGGCACTTGCAATGAGAAACAGAAAAACTCAGAATTTTTGACGCACTTTTCTCAAACAGTAAAAGTAAAGGACACGCTGATTTCTTTGTTTTACCAATTATTCAATTAGTCTATGCAGCCGAGAAGCGAGAAAGAATTATAATCAATCATATTCTTAAAAAGTAAGAAGCATGGTCCAATACAAAAATATTTGTCAAAACACTAAATAGAAGCTCACCTTGAAATTCCAAGATTAAATATATCATTTGCAGCCTTCGTTTTAGCCTTAGATTCCAAATGCAGAGCATATGATATGTAATATGCAGAATGTGTGGTTCCAATTTCATTTGCGTGCAGAAAATTAAATATGACTTCAGGGTCGAAACAATTTTCAGCCTGCAGAGTTTAATTACCAATTGTCAAAGTTCAAATATAATAGCGAAACAGTAGTAGTACAGAATAGAAACCGGGGATCGCACACACATATTCCAACCACACTTTCAAATAACGGAGATCTTCCTTGTAGCGATCTGAATGCCAAAATGTGCGCACACATTGTTCGTATATCAAAACGAGTCCGGAGAAATCACCACCAGCTGGATAAGCTTCTTGAACCCATTTAATACACCTTTGACAAGTAGGTTGTTAGTAAAAACCGCGCGGCAACCAGAATGCAAAGGTAGAACGGAAATGAGATGCAAATTTCTATTAATTTAGCAGATTGGAGGTTAGGAAATTCGTGAACTAACCATCCAATGTATTCGTTAGCAGTTTGGGGATCGCTCTTAAGTTGTAACAAAAGGAATTGAAGGGAAAGATGAATAAATCTTAACAGTGCTTTCCGGAGTGAAAACTCTCGATATTTGTGGGTTTAAACGAAGACCTCAAAGTAAATCATGAAAATTAGACGAAAAACATAGTCACTCACTTGATCCACGGCTGCAAGGGGTCATCACCTTGGTACTCGTCGATAGCCTCGATTAATTTCCTGAAAGAAGAATGAAGAAGACATTAAGAAAAAGCCAGTAATATCATAAGCGCAAAAGAGAGAAAGAAAGCTGAGAACCTGCGGTTATCAAGGAGGGATTTCTTGAGATGATTATCGGTATGGGATTTTAGGGCATTGTTCAAGATGCTGATATTGCGGCCCCTCTTGAGAGGTCTGACGTTCTCTTTGAAAAGTTCCCAGTCGTTCTGAGTCTTACGCTTGGACAAAATGAACTCGGTTTCTGGGTCTAATTCCTGTATCTTGGCGTCTTCCATAGCTGTTGCTCCTTCCGATACCTCAGTGACCACGAACCACCTTAGATGAAGATGCTATGCAACGCTCCCAAGAATTTCAAATTTCAAATTTCAAAAATATGAAAACTCGAATAGCCGTTTTCCCGTTATATAATGGAGAAAGATAAATGGGCTGGGTTGTTTTGTTTGGGCCTAAGAGTAGGGGTTAGAGAGCCACAGCCCATTTAACATTGACAGCATAGAATAAAAAAATTAGGCGTCTTGTCTACTTTTCGAAAGATCAGATCAAAGTTCCAACTTCAAGCGGAGCACGCGGCAGTATTCGCAATCGCAGCGACTGTCGTGTTTCCTGCCTACCCGTACAGGAGATAAAATGGCTTCAATCGTAGCTCCGGTAGCAGCTCTGAAGTCATGTAATGGCTTCCTGGAGAAAAAGATGCCCTATTTGAAACTCAGCGACAAAAGTCAGCCGGTGAGAGCAATGGGGATGGCTAAATACAAGTACAAATACAAAGGAACGCAGATGAGAGAGAAGCATCTGACGGAAATGATTGAGAAGAAGGTGATGGAAGCAAAGGAGGTGTGCGAGGGGGACGAGACCTCAGATGAGTGCAAGGTGGCGTGGGACCTGGTGGAGGAGCTCAGCCAAGCCAAAGCCCATTTCCTACACAAACTTCAGAACCAAGATCCACTAGAGTACTTCTGTCGAGACAATCCCGACCTTGACGAGTGTCAAATTTACCAGGAATGATCCCAATGTATGCGTCTTGTGTATCAATAAAAATAAAACTCCAATGAATTTTCTTTCAAATCAATTTTACTGGAGCACGTAATTCTACATTCCGGAACACAAATGTTCGATACAATAACAATAATCATACTCAGAGACAGCGTTGAATATACGTTGAAGTTCAAGTTATATGATTATAGCATCTTGATCAGATAAAAAGAAGGCAATCCCCCTTGTGCGAAAGTCAGTTGGCCACATTCAAAAATACTAACTAGCAGTATACAAAATAAAAAGAAAACAGCAGACTTGAGTTATAAACTAACAGCTACTCCTACTCTCTCCCGCTGTCTTCATCAAATGCTGCTGCATCCTTCACATCGACGGTGAAACTATATTCCTGGTCACAGCCCAAGTAAGAGTCGCACATGAAATAAAGGGTGTACGATTTCTTTCCAGTATCTGGAGGGGCAGTAAAATCAAGCTTGACCTTGGACTTCCTTTGAAGAGAAACCCTTTTAATCGCCAGTAGCTGGTTACTCTTTGTATCGCCAACAACAAGCCACCATCCTTCTTCTTTGGCTTTGGGATACCTCGAAGCATCCACAGGTCCAACCTCGGTCCTTCCATCAAGATCCCGCTCAAGTGTAACTTGCAGTGTTATGTTCTCCCCTGCTGCCACATTCTCACCATCCAGCACCTCATATGCCATATCAATATTAGGGAAGCGGTTGCAAAAGCGTGCAATGTCCAACAACTGAGAATCTGACATCTGAAGTAGTTCCCGCCTTTCCTCATCCTCCATTTCCACCAGGTCAAACACCGTTTCTATGTTCTTTCCAGGGTTCTCTTGGCATCTCTTGGCCAGCTCCTTTGTGAAATGAGGTAGCTGTAGAAGCATTGAATCCCGCTCCCACAGACCCTGGGTTACCATCTGGCTGACTTCCATTGCAAGAAGGGCAAGGCTCAGCCAACCATTGCTCGAAATGACATCCACCATTGCCTGCAACAACCTACTGGCAGAAATTACTACCTGACGTTGGTCCAATGTTAAGTTACCACCAATGGATTGCCTCGAGAAGTGAGCCTGCAGCAATGCATTTGCTTTGACATGTGGGTCTGTGCATTTTGGATTTTCAAAGGAAAATCGCTGATGATTAATTAATCTACGAATCAACTCTTCTTCACCAGGTCGAATTGGAAGCAATGCATACTCAGACGCTGAAGCCAGGATCTCCAGAAGACCCTTCATCTTGGTTTTGGCAGTTAAAGACGAACTGAAACGCTCAATAGTAGTATAACTAATGTAATAATATGATGCTATCATACCAAGATTAGATGGAGACAGGTCCATATCATCCTCAATGCCAATGCACTTGCTTGCTTCTAAGTCGCTCAACGTGTTCTCAACAAGCTCTGAAAGGTGATCAGACAAATGCCTATGACTGACACCTTGAAGATTATAATAATTGGGATTCTGATTAAGCCTCCTGTACATAAAAGTCCACGTAATATAATCAACAGCATCCTGCTTGTTCTCAATAATTCCAGCAACAATTTCCGCATTTAAATTATCATGGAGAAAATGGTGCAGATGGCTTTCAACTGGGAAAGCTTCATATAAGAATTTCTTGTAGTATTCTTTACGGGGAGCATGGCAGAGAATGACACATTTCCCAGAATTATCAAGCAGTGGTCGACTGGCATGGCCCATCATCTGCATCAAATCAGTAACAGGGTAGTCGGTGTGAGCATTTTCCCTTCCATCATAATATTGCGTTCCCATTACCACCACCAAATGGGCTGACAATGGAACACCCCAGCACATCGAGCTGCTTATGACACAAACCTGAATCCACCCTGCTTCAAAGAGCTGTGTCACAACTTCTTGATCCAAGCTAGACAGTCCCTCATGCAAATAGCCAACTCCATGACGTAAAATGGCTTTCAGCATCTCATCATGAATCTTGTCAACAAAGGGCTCAATCTCTTCAACAGATCTCAACAGAAATGGCAGTTTCTCTCCGTTGTCTACACTAGAGTACGTCATTATATCTACTGCTGTTAGTCTGACATGCTTCCTCGTGGGAACAAAGACGAGTGCAGGCTTTCCATTCCTCGCATGCTGAACAACTGCTGTGTATGTGGGCTTTGTCATAGCCTGCATTCTCGCTTCAAAATTAGCTATATCCACCCCCTGAATATGAATCTCCAAAGGCACAGGACGAACACCAGGTGGGAAATTGAAGAGACCATGAGAAGTAGCCCCAATCCAATCCCCAATATCTTTAGCATTTGCAAGAGAGGTAGAAAGGGCCACAATTCGAATCTTGTTCTCAATCTGACTTGCAATATATCTCATCCTAGAAACAATCACCTCCAATACAGGACCACCTTGACCCCCAATCAAGTGAAGTTCATCGATGATAAAAAGACTGACCTGTTGGACATGTTTCCTCTGTTTCCAACGACGAGATAGAGCATCCCATTTCTCTGGGGTACTAATGATTATTTGACCTTTCTCAAGAAGTTTCAAATCTGTTGCCGTTTCTCCTGTTAGCTCAACAACACGGATTCCAAGTCCCTTTCCAAACTTCTTGTCCCAGTCCCTGTAACGTTCTTTAGCAAGAGCTTCTATAGGGGCAATATACACAGCACGTAATATATTATCCTGTCCTTTCTGATGATTCCTCAATATAGAAAACTCGGCACAAATAGTTTTTCCACTTCCAGTTGGTGCTGCAACTAGAACATTATCATCTGTGTTATATAAAACAGTAAAGACTTGAGTCTGAACAGGATTGAAATGTTTAAAATCTTGATAAAGAGCTTCATAAGATGGATTCCTTAATGCAGTCACTGGAAGAGGTTGCAAGTCTAACAGCTCCGTTGGTGGTGGGAATTTTTCTGGCAGAATGAGGTGCCTGAAAGAGACGGGCAAAATAGTTTGTGACCCTAGCCATCTATCTGACACAACACGTATGAAGTACTGTGGGGGTAGTGGTTCGTAAATTGGCACCGTGAAATTTAAAGTGTGGTCCTCATCAATGTACTGCTTCTTCAACAAGAAATACTCATGATGTAGTATAAATTCACCATCATTATCCTCCACAAGTACCCAAAATGACTCTACATATCCATGAACCTTGTCCTCCCATTGAAAGTCTGGGGTTATCGTGAGCTCAACTCTCAGAACAGTGCGTGTAATTGGCTGAACATGTGCAGCAAGATTCAATTTTGGGAATTGGTGGATGAACTTGTGAAGAGTTCTTCCCATTTTGGGAGCACGTATAAGCTCACCAAGTTCCTGCGAGGAGAGATCGTAGTACCGTTCCCAAGCCAAATCCTTCTTTTCCAGCTTCATGAGAATATCATTCGAGATACCATGGAATTGCCGAAGAGGTGTCTGGACACTCCACATCCTTTTACTCACCATCTTGCACAAGTTCAAGGCCTTCTCAGCAAGTTGTGCCCATCCTCGTTTCAAGACAATCTCAAAAAGAGCTCGCATAAGCCGTCCAGCACTCTGTTGGAGCATGAAATAACTAATCTTAGTGCAAGGGAAACCAAATCAAATGGCCTTAACATATAGGGATACAAAATCAGTAGACAAAAAAGGAGTTGAAAGAACAACAACAAAGATAAAGGCAGGAATCTACAAAATGAATGCAAACTACCAATGATACAAAGGTTAAGCTTTAAGAATAAAGTGAGATCAGTTGATTGGATAAATTCACTGAATAAAAGCAAATTTAACAGACCTGAGTTATGAACACCATGTCAGAAGTCAATGACAGCCCTTCAAGCTTTAACTGAGATATATATGCTTGCAGCAAAACATTGATCTTGGCACTGGGTTCCTCCAAGCTTTCCTTGATAGGAATTGGAACGCGTTCCAACAGCTTTGCCAATTCCATTTTCTCATCCTGGCGTACTGTTACATATTTGAATTCTTCGCTCAATGAGAACAAGCGACATAGTTCAATATCCCCCATCATTGGCTTCAAATGCTCATTGTAAGTGGATATTGTTCCGTGTGTTATATAGTAGTAGCTAGCAATGCGACCCAAGTCAGTAACTTGGAAATACCCACTTTTCCGGTCATACTTCACCAGATTATTTTTATCTAAAATTATAGCAGCTGAATGAATCTGCGAACATAAAGCATCCCGATAATGAGAAAAACAAAATATCATCTTACACAATCACAACATAGAACAACAATCATCATTATCAGCCATACAATCAATGTGTTAGCCATAAAAAATGTAATTCTGACATAATTGTAAAGCAACATTTACTTAGCATTTGGCTGGAAGGTTTCTGCGGGAAACATCAAACTCTTGGTTCTATATATCGAGATTAAACAAATATAATAATATTTTTAATTAGTATAATAATTTTTGTTCTATATAAGTTATTCTCTCTTTAAATTTTGTATTGTTCCCTTTACCCTTCTGAGCAAGTACAACATCTCATCACTTTTCTTTCCTTGGGTACAGTATTGAACCAACCATTATTTTTAAGAAAGAGAACTTACACAAAACTACTCCTACAGGTTTCTATTAGTTCTTTTTAAAAGAAATCTCTCTTCCTACGTATCTTGATGTAATTTAATTAAATCGGTTAGTTAGGAATTAGGATTCGGTTGGCATAAACTAGTATAAATAATAGAATTCCATTTGTAAACATTTAAAATTTCATGAATAAAGCTCCTATCCTTTGGTTTACATCATATCTATTTTTAATGAATGTTGAGTTCACAACACCACTTGCTTTAAAATGTTAATTTTAATCTTCTACTCTCTATTCTTATTTAGGATAAATGATAACTAATAAAATGACTAAAATCCTCCCTTTCTAGGTAGAGGTAGATTTTTGTGGGTTACAAGTCCTTTAGCATCCCTTGGGCATTTAGTTGAAAAGGAATCAGAAAATTAATCAGGATTCATTGAGATTGGGAGTAATGGAGGCTGGAGCATCGTACACAATGCTTCCCTTTAGGCTTCTGCTTCTTCCTTGTTTATATATTCCTATTTTCTTTTCATTACAGGCTTATAGGTCGTCGTCATTGGAAACCCTTGACAA